GGCGGAGGTTGGGGCAAGAAGTGGAAAAGTAAGTAAGACCCCATCCTGGGGATGCTGCCTTCTGAGTGGGACATCCTGTGGGCCCAGGAAGTAGGTGGTGGACTGGGTAGAAATAAAAGGTTAGGCTACAGCTCTGACTTGGGAATCCTTGTGTGGAGACAGCAAGGAAAGAGAAAAATAGGAATAGCACTTCAGAGAACAAAAACGTGAAGAGAGAAAGGAGAGAGAGCAGGGGGATCTGACTTAGTGCGTGCCTGCCCTTGGGGGTCAGAAAAGGAAAAAGAGTTAGGAGACACAGAGAGAAAACCCAGCAGGACAACTAGTGAACGAAGAGGATCAGGTCGAAGCAGCTAATGGACAAAGGGGTCCAAAGGGGACAAAGTCGCCTAAGAGGCAGAGGGTAAAAAGAAACCAGAGTATCTGGTAGGAAATGGCTCCTTTGTGATTTGGGGGCTTTCAGACATCAGCTTTGTCCTTCCTCGCTCTGTCCTCGGGCTGGACGAGGCGCTCTGGCACCATTGTTCTAACAGGAGAGGGGAAAAAGATACAATTCTTGGAAAATGATTAATCCTCAGAGGAAACTCTGAAAAAGGCACTTATACCAATTTTAGACACATTCTGGTATTCAGTAAGATTGCATTGCCATAGCAACTGCTCTTCCATATCCGTATAAACAGGAGCTTTACAATAGCAGGATGACTGAAGTGGACAGCCTGAGAATTGACAACTTCCCCCAGAGGGGTTACCAGGTAGGAGAGCCCAAGTGTTTGAAGGCAAGATGCTCTTGGCGTGTTCTGTTTATATAGCATAAACCCTGTGCCTTCTTTGGTGGGCTTTTATCACAGGAAAAGCCATGTCAAAACTGCCCTTAGAGACATACATATTTTACATGTATGCATACCTACATATACATATATGTGTATATACCTACATATATAGTGTATACCTATATATATATCTATATATACAGTTAAGTTTAATGTGAATCAGTCGTGTAAAATACTTGTCAAAAAAGATGTGATAAG